TACTTGTTGGAACATTGAACGTTGTTTGCCGCTCGTCATGGCCACCGTGGAAAGTCGCAGTTTAGAATCGGTCGTCAACCACCATTGCCATCACCACCATCAGCATCACCCAACTAGTATCTCTTGTAGCCCGCCACTAGCATCGATACTGTCACCATGACCATTGTTGATAGACCGAGTATTCAAACTTTGTCCTTTGTTTCTCCACGGACTCTGCTGAAGCCGCCAACAGGTCCATCAGGCCATAGTGTTGGTCGTCGCCGGCATCATGGATTGACTCCCTCACTCCCCTTCTGCCTTCAACGTCGCCGTCGTCGATGAAATGCAACTCTGATGCTAATAGTCTTGGACACTAGGATACCGGCGTGGAACACTTCACGTTGGCCATCCATCAATGGCACAACATGATCGGAGCTCCCGGGAACTGGGCCAGCGCCGGCCCCAACACCGAGGAAAACAAGAACTTGACGAGTTTTCTGCCTGTGACAACGGCCAACCCATCCAACAAGCCGGGACATTTTTCTTTATACAAGCGCATGATGTCCCACAGAGGCGCTATTAACGTTGCATCAACCACTCTGCATCACCATTACTAATATCCGGCGACGATTTAATTTTGTTCATGACGATGAGTTCTTGTAACTGCCATTCCTTCTGCTTCGCATGGATCGGGGCAGACTAACATGCATCATCCTCGTCGGCCATGTTGGTGGTGGCCGGCGGCTACCAGCAAGAGAATGCCTCGAGTTGGGCAACACCGCCATTAGTTGTACACACGTCTAGCGCATGTAGTGAGAAGAGTGCGGCCAAAAGGGATTAATTTATACAGTTTTAATCTTTATTTTTATTTTTACTTGCTTGCTAGTTCATGCTATTTCGCCGCCAGTGTTGTGCAGGATTGCATGTTCGTTCGTTCCAAGCCCCGAATCATGGACTGTACTCCGTAAGATATTGACCAGACTCAACATTGCTCGCTTAAGATGATGGAGCACACGCGACTTCCATGGCAGCCTTAAGCGCGCTGATGTCAACTGCAACCAGGCCACTAGGCGGCGCGCCTGAGGCAAACTGATCGCAGGCGCGGGGGGAGGACGCCTGCATGAAATTCAGGGCAGGCACTTCCCCCTCGGCACCTTCTCAATAATGCTCAGGGATGCCTTCTCCTCTCTCATCCCGTCGAACCACCACCATCCCACGTCATGATGGAATGCATCGCCGTCTCGGTCCTCCCGCACAAACGAAGCCAACACGCAACTACGGGTGAGATTACACGTCGCCTGTCCGCCCGTCCCGCCACGCCAAGCCCGACGCCGAAGTGGCCCAGCGGCCCCAAAACCCGGCCCGGCAGACAGGCACCGCCTCACCCGCCACGAGGCCAGGCATCCTCGCGCGTCTGCCAGTCAAGAAGGACATCACGGCAATCCAAACTCCTCGGCAGCTCTCACCAGCATCATGCAATCATGTCATCATGTCTTGCGGGCCCCCAATTTGCGGCATACCCAGCTCTTTGGGCTTGGTTCCAGATTACCCTGCCACTGCCCACCGGGGCGGAAAACGAGAAAAAAAAAAAGGTGTGAAAGGGCCGAGTGTCTACGCGATGTTTATGTAAGACTGCCTGGAGCTTTCTTGGGGTTCCATGTGTACCGTCAGATGGGGCGGTTTATTTTTAACAATAGCCGCGAGAAAGCGCGAATCGTAGGACGAGCGACTGTCATGGGCGGCTGAAGGCCGCTCACTCTCTCATCATCAAGTCATCTGCCGTGGGCTGTGAAATAAACGCTTGCCGACGTTGTGGAACCCGCAAGAGTGCTATTTTCTCGACGCTGATACAACACGGGTAGTGCCAGTCTTGGATTGCCGGAACGCAGAGCCTCCCTCTTCGCCCTCACCTTGCACCCTCGTCGTTTGCGCTCCGTTCTAGAATACCAGCATGCTTCTGCATGCGTCTGCAACGCATTCCTCAGCCCGCAGAGAGCACACGGTGACGGCAGGGCCTGCTTCTCATAGCGCTGTAATGCGACGTTGGATACACAACGGCCAGCAAATGGCATGGCCATCTTGCTCCGAAGGCACGGCACATGGCACGAGGACAGATCGATCTTGCATAGACCCTACAGAGGGATAGTGACGTAGTCTTTGTGGAACTTTGGCCCTCCTATCTATGTAAACAAAATTACCGACATTCATCGTTGGAACTAGTACTCACAAAAGACAAAAAAGCAATCATGTCTGCTCAGCGTCTAGTCAGGACACTAGTACCTGAGTCGTCAGCCGTTGAGTGACACAAATTCCTAGGTAATCATCTTTATTGAGAGCGAGAGAACAAGTTCGAGACAGACTGCACATCACCAAGGTTAAAATTAACCAGTAAAGCCAGTAAAAACCAGTCGTTTCGCCGCCTTTGCCAGAGTTTCTAAAATACCCTCTGCAAGAGAATACAATTCGTAGTGACCTTGCCATATCGTCACTTCCGCTTGAACGAAACCTTAATTTCCCTGTTCACCGTTTCCGAATTTCCCTTTCAAAATCAATAAAAAGCTAAAGTACATGGCAAGGAGTGGCGAATCAGTAAGAAAACAATCCCACCGCCATCATCGAATAAAAAAAAGCAATAGAATAAATAATGATCACCCAGGCTGGAATGGGATTCGATCATGCCGTTGAACCCTCCTCCTCATAGTCGTCAGTAATGAGAGGAGACTGTCGTCGTCCTAAGAGGCACGCAAGCAACTATCACGCGCAAGATCGTAGAGCAGTTGGGGCTCCATCGACAAAGCGGACTGCTCGCGAGCCGACATGCCCCTTGTTAATGGTGCTGTCAAGTGGCGTGCCCTTTCGAAGGATCGTCTTGTGATCCGACGAGGCGGACTTTGGAGGTGACAAAGACCGGCCTGAAGACATTGAGGGTCTCTTGTCTTGCAGGCTGTCTACAGGCCGGTCGGATTGTCAATCTATACCATGCTGTTTCTTCAGCTGAGCTAAAGATTCCCGACGTGCCTCGAGGTCCTCTTTTGACTTCATCATCTTCTCCGGCTGATGATACAGAACTGTCAGGAGGGGGTTAGTACACGCGCCGATACGTAATGGACAATTGAAGGGGCAGGAAGGGGCGACAAAGTGCAATGGGGGTCCGTCAACTTTCGATGTCAACCTGTCACGTACCGACAAGATAACGATTCTGGAAGTTGAAGCCGTTGAGCTTGTCGCAGGCTTGCTTCGCATCCATTACGTCCTCATAGACCACGAAGGCCGTTCCCTTGGTACTAGTGGAAATGCCCTGGCGAACTTGGCTGCAAAAGAAAGAAAAAAACACGTTAGTAGCTGGTTGCCAGAGCTGGTTTTATCAGGATATCGATGAAATATCGAGGTCGGGGGCGCGTACCGGATTGGACCGAATTTTCCAAAGAGGTCGAAAAGCTCCTCTGGAGTTACGCTGTAGCTATATCGATTGCTGTCAGTTCGGGCGTTCGGAGATATGAGTTTGCACGTCGGATTTAGTTACCTCAAATTCTTGACGAACAGAGCTCTGTGATGGTGGTTAGCCAAGCCCAACGCGATGGTCCCGTGGTAAACGCAGGCAACTCGGCCGTCTCAACAGATTGGGGGTTGTGATGCCGGAAAAAACCCGTGGAGAGGGACTCCACGCGCCGAAACAAGATATAAGAAAAAATGAATTTAAAAAACACACTCACCTGTTGACTTCGGGTGCGAGTTTCCCGCCGCGACTACTCATCCTTTGGATGATTTTGTTGTAATGAATCGAGGACTCGATAAGGGTCGGAAGCGGCTCCGTTCAGGCTCGAGGATGTTGGAAGGATGGATTGCGAGACCAGATCCGAGCGGAGGCGCAAGGCGGGCAAGGGTGACTGGCCTCTGCGATGGAACGAGGCTGGTCACGTGAGGGGTGGTTTGTGCTGTGGCCGTTCGGTGAGGAAGTGAATGGAAGTGTGGAGTGGAGATAAACGGCACCGGGTCTATCGCAACATTCGAACGCTATTAGACGCTATCGCACGCAATCATTGCAAAGTGCCATTGATGCGGACGATACTGCGTACCTAATACCTTTTGTTCGTAGCACTCCGGAGGAGCAACTCCAACGTGATTCAAAGCTATAGAACATTGAAGCTTGGGTTTCCGCGATACCTGTCTTCTACGCAATTCATACATCACCCAGGTGGATGACGGGTGGAAGACACAAACATTTGAGAGAGCGACGCGGCAACCGTTTTGGAGTCTGAGCCACAGCATTTGTGACATTCCGAAGCACTCCTGTATCACAGGGTCCTGGCGAGCATCAAATACCATTCGTGGCGGCAGTTCCCTCAATCCGTGAGTGACATGGTGTGGTGTGGTGCAGCACCTTACCAATGGCTTCTGCGACATGCGTCCCCGACTTGACCGCCATACCTGATTCATGTTTGTATTGGTTCTCTTTTCTTCTGGTCCTTCTCGTCCTCCCCAATTGCACCCAGCAATGCATCCGGGTGACGTCTGAAGTCATCTCAAGTGCTAGCAATGATGTTCCAACATTCAACAGACGGACTTGGAGTCACCCTAATCACAGCGAGGTCCGCCCATTGACAATTCCACCCAGGCATTGCCCCACTTTGGCAGCCTACTTAGTAGTTAGCATCGTCGGTGAACTACGACAATGTGTCGCAAATATGGGGCGCACAGTCCCCGACACCGGAAAGACGATTTGCTTCTGTGCATTTTCCAGGGGAAGCACAGTGTTCATCAATTTATAATAAACGCTACTTGTACGGTACGACCAACTTCTTGTTCACAACTCGCTCAGCTGTTGCTGATGAAGACAGATTCAAGGCCATTCATTATCAATTGACCCAATATTGAATGGTCCCCCTGGTTAGAAGTTCAGCTAACAGTCGCGATTTGTTGACCTTTACGGATTTATGCATTGCTGCCGTTGCACAGCCGGGCCTTGTTTCTGTTTTCCAGCTGTGCTGGCCTTTTCCCGATTCTAAATCCAGCGATACCAGATGTCAAGCTCTTTCGGAGCTTCCGTTTTGTCAACGTTCGATTGCGGGGAAGATGGAACGGAATTTCTCTCGCAGTTAATCGAATCACCGGATACACCTGCACACGAAACAAGGCAACTGGTGGACACGAGTATCCTGGCCAATTCAGATGACTTTCATTACCTGATTGAATGTGCGAGGTCTATACAGCAATCGAGACATCTACCCTATGAAAACTTAAACGGCAACGACCTGCTCACATTTGTATGGCACATCTTGACCAGCGAGCCCACTGTTCCCGACACAGAAGAGAAGCCCTGGGCGGAGACGGACCGACTGATACTTCTTGCCAAAGAGCTCGCCAAAGACCCCGATATTCGAGGCCCAAGTGCTCGTCAAATAACTAGCTATGTGAGTCCAGCCAAACGGGCTCGTCGGCAAGTCAAGTTGGTCAGTCAAAGTACTACCTCCCATTATTGGTCTACCGAGACAAGAACGCAAAACAAAACGTTGAACGGCAGGATAGCGCTTGCGGATAGCTACCCGCAACAGCCTAGTCTCCCAAAGGGGATTTTGCAAACAGCTGTAGCCAATTTCAGACAAGACATACAATTCAGGGACCAAAAAGTTACCAGATCATCAAGTACTGCCACCACATCCCAGCCGCAAAATATCGAATCCGTCTATCCACAATGTCAGTCAGCAATAGACAGTGCTACTGCTCTCTGTCCCACAGCTCAAATTTCTCCCTTCTTCCCATGGAAAACTCGAGAAAAAAAGTCGCCCAGTCGCCCTCCGGCAGGTGTCGTGTCGAGTGTCCCCTTCCCACCACTTTCAACGTCTCAATTCGGGCTGATTCAGGAGAGGTTGGCGCATGAGCCATTCTGGTTATTAATAGCGGTAACTTTTTTGATCAAGACAAGTGGCCAGGCAGCTATACCCGTCTTCTACAAAGTCAGAGAAAGGTTTCCTTCACCTACAGAACTGAGAGATCCCAACAATGCCGAGGAACTCTTCAGCATGATACGTCACCTGGGTTTGGCTGCTAATCGACTTGCTTTTATTCAAAAATACGCCGAAGTTTTTATAAGCAACCCGCCGGCACCTGGAAAGCAATACAGAGTCAGAAATTACGAAAGGAGAGATATTTTGCCATCTGCCATGAGCATGGAGAGCCTGGACACCAATGGCGATTCAAAGTGCTTGAGCCCATGTGCTGCCGATGACGATGCAAATGCAATGGCCTGGGAGATTGGACATATGACCCAGGGGAAGTATACGCTGGATAGCTGGAGGATATTCTGCCGAGACGAGCTACTTGGGAGAGCCCAGGATTGGAATGGGAAAGGGCAGCAGCCAGAATTTCAACCCGAGTGGATGAGGGTTCTGCCACACGACAAAGAACTTCGAGCATATCTACGATGGATGTGGATGCGGGAAGGTTGGGAATGGAATCCAGAAACGGGAGAACGGCAAGTGCTGCGGCCGGAACTGGAAGCAGCTGTCAATGAAGGAAGAGTCGAGTATGATAATGCAGGAGGGTTACGAATTCTGGAAACAGCGAGGCGATAAATGTGCGGAGGGGTGTAACGAATATGGAAAATGTCATGGGAGCGTACGGAGTACTTGTGTCGCATAGCCTCTGGATAATAATGAAGTATAGATGTTCAAGCAACCAATTTAAACCAGCAATTGAGAAATACGTATAGAACACCCACTTATTATGCGTTTCGGTTCGAATTCGTCTTTGGGTACTGTACAGTGTAGGGTACACAGAATTGACTTGCCGATAGGGAAGGTACTTTTCGGTACGTATGGCGGAAGGGCTAGTTGGTGGGGAATACCGAAGTATTGGACTCGTACGGAGTATTCCGCAATGCAGACAGGCAAGGCAACCTTGGAAAATACATGTCTGGGACATCAGAAGGGAGGTGGGTACTCGGTTGGAACCGATTGAACTTGACGATTTGAAGACGGGCGTTCTCTAACTTTAAGCCAGCGCGGAGCATTCTACTGTAACCAAAAGTTTTTGGCAAGCAAGTAACATTAAAGGGAAGGCATAAGACAGCACCGAGGTTACCAGGCGGCAACAGGCGGCTGCAGCCTCGACGGGTTGAACAGGCGATTGATGCAGCTGTGGCTGACGCGCGCCAACAGAAGGCAGTGGGTACAGGACTAGGACACTGTTCAAGTGATCAATTGATTCAGGTGGGCATCATCGGGAGCTTGGGACAAGGAGCAAAGCATGTAAGGCCGAGACGCCGAGAATGAGGACACGCAGGCCTCACTGGCTAAGAAGTCGTCGCCCTCCCTTGGACGAGGGAGTCGCGTGCTCGGGGCTGGGCGTTTATTAGAGTCAGACATTGTGGAAAGCGCGTCGTGAAAAGCAAGTTTAGAGTACAATAGAGCAATAGGAATGCGTCAAGTCTGCTGTGTTGATACTAAGTAGATTAAAGCCGTCAATGGACGTGGTGATGCTGCGTACCTACTAGGAGGAGTACAAGTTTCGATTGTTCTTTTGGATCAATGCCAGGGTCGGAGCGCGCTTGTCCCTGGACCATCTGTGCAGAGCAGATGCGTGGGTATCGTACAACAGCGCTCACGGTGGGCAAGTGCGTGCGGGCCTGGAATCTGCAATGGCAAAAAGAAGCAAGATACACGACTCGGCATTGAAGGTGCAGTAGCTGGTTGGCAAGGGGTTTTTCTACCTAAGTACTTAAGTACTAGGCACCTGGCGACATGGATGTATATTTCGGCCAGGCCCCATGGCCGCTCACTGCTCGTCGTCGGTGCTACATACAATCGACTTGAGCTTCTTGATATAAAGTCAATCTCAGATACAAATTGACTCGAAAGCTTGCTCAAGCGGAACGTACATACCTAGGTACGTATGGAGTACTCCGTACAAGGAAGGCACGCCTGGCAGAGTGGGCAGTACGTACCAGTAACCAGACCGGACTTGACGGCGGCTAGAGCCACCAGGGCCACTAGAGCCAGAAGTGGACACCCCAGCATAACTTGTCTAAAGGACACAGTTGTAGTAAGTTACCTTGGTATGTACGGAGTAGCCTGGCGCGCCAGCCCAGGGTTAGAAGTCATAGCTTGTCCTCTTGCCATGGTCGCGCTGTCGCCGACGTGGTGGTGGACTGGTGGTGGACTGGTGGTTGTGGTCAGATCGACCGGTCGAGTCTATCCGTCTGGCCTATGTACTTAGACTAGACGGCCTCAACCCGGGACTCTGGACACATGTGCACTTTTTGCCAATTCCCAACCCCTCCTGGACATCTTGACAGAGTTTCCTTCAACACTTCAACACCCCGACCCAACCCAACTCACCTGCCATCGTGGTGCATCGCCCTCCTTTGTTTGAATTGAAGCTTTTGTAGCCCAGTGGTGCTCAGTGCTCTTTGCTCCTTGCTCTGCCTGCTCTCTCCTCTCTTCTCTGCTCCCTTGCCTCTCTGCTCTCTACCGGCGCGACCACTTCTTCCACTTGGACAACTCAACCTCGTCTGTCCATCACCCCACGCCACAACCGCGCCTGTCGCTTCTTCCAAACCCAACCTCTTCCATCTCGTCTAATCCGAAACTCCCTCCGCGGACACCTTGACCGTCAACAGGCCTGGTGTGCAACTGTCGCAAGCTTCGGCATCGGACGTCACGACTGGTAGAATCCACACAGCTTCCGCAGGCACCCACCGACCCTCGGTTCATCCCAAGCAACTGTCCCTAAGCCCAGCAGCTCTTTCATCATGCAGCGCGGTCCCTCTGGATATGGCCTCAGTGGCCCTCCGCAGTACGGCGGCCCTTCCAACGCCGAGGAATCCAATGGCAACATCCTCGACCAGATTCGCCCCTACACTAGCAAGGTTGAGGATATGCTCGACACCCTGAGCGAGCCCATCAAGCCGTAGGTGGCCACTTGGCTCCCATTTAGCCCAACTAGCTACCACTCCCTTGATGGTCTACCATGACAATTGCTGACCTGGAGCGCTTGCTCTTCTACAGTTACCTGCCCGCCATTGGCCGATTCCTGATTGTCGTCACTTTCCTGGAAGATGCCCTTCGTATCATCATGCAGTGGAGCGACCAGCTTCTCTACCTTCACGACTACCGACATAGTAAGTAGTGCATACATTCAGTAATAACCCGCAGGCGAAAAACAAAAAATAATTGGCCTTGGTAGAGGCTACCAACCAGTGCAAAAACCAGCTAACAGGTCGCAGTTCCCAGTGGTATCACCCATATTTTCCTTCTCGCCAACGTCGTCGCCATGGTCGCATGCTCCACCCTCATCATCGCCCGAAAGCAATCTGACTACGCCGTCGCCGGTCTCATGGGTGTCGTCATCACCCAAGCTCTCGGCTATGGTTTGATTTTCGATCTCAACTTTTTCCTCCGAAACCTGTCCGTCATTGGCGGCCTTCTCATGGTTCTCTCCGACTCGTGGGTGCGCAAGACCAAGGCTTTCGCGGGACTGCCCACGCTCGACGAGAAGGACCGCAAGATGTACTTCCAGCTTGCCGGCCGTGTTCTACTCATCTTCCTCTTTATTGGATTTGTCTTTACTGGCCAATGGTCCATTTGGCGCGTTCTGGTGTCTCTCCTCGGAGCCGGCGCTTGCGTCATGGTTGTTGTCGGGTTCAAGGCCAAGTTCAGCGCCACGCTTCTCGTTGTCATTCTGAGCATTTTTAATCTGTTTGTCAACAACTTCTGGACCGTAAGTTTTCTTTTCTTCTTCTTTTTTGTCAACTTTGCTAGAGTTGTCTCTTTGCCGAGCCGGCCACAGCTAACATGTATTACTAGCTCCACGAGCACCACCCACACAAGGACTTTGCCAAGTACGATTTCTTCCAGATCCTCTCCATCGTTGGTGGTCTGCTCCTGCTGGTCAACAGTGGCCCTGGTCAGTTCAGTATTGATGAGAAGAAGAAGGTCTACTAGGCGACCTAGTTGGCACATGGATCTCACGGATCTCACGGGTCTCGGAAAGTGGGTCGCCATGGATGAAAATAAATTCTCGACTCTCATGTTTGACGATTAGCTTTTTCCTGCTACGGGACAGCTTCTTTTTTAACGAGGCGCTTTGGTGGTTTCAAGGACACTGCATTGAAAAAAAAAGTTCCTCGTGGTCACCACCACGAGCATGGCTGTCATGAAATATCCTCAACTGTTTGCAATATATAGAGAGAAGTATGGGCAGTGATGTAGGAGGTACGCATGCTGAAGCACAATATCAATCTGATTTATGTTTTGAAGAATGTTCCTTGTCTGTTGAATTTATGGCTACTGCGTCGGTGGTTGACTGAGAAGGCCCTCCATATTACTAATTACTTACATACATGTGCGGCTCCGTCGTCCGAGACGGTCCGAGCCTTGGCATTGACAGTCGGGTCGGTTGGCGCATTCTTCATCCATCCAAACCACTCGCTAGAGCGAAGAAATGCCGCCCGGACACGATGCGGATCAGCAAGAGACGACATGATGACGTGATGCCGTCATTTGGTATAGGCCCACACGGCGCTGTCCGTGGTGCCCCGGATCTCGTCCATCCATCCAGCGAGAACTTCCACCGCCCCGCGGCCTCGCTGCGTGGCATGGGCTACTTTAGGGCCTTTGACGTCTACTCGCTGTTAGGTTGCCAAGCTTCCGTTCAATAGCAGTCAATCTACAAATATCCATACACATACATACCCGTGCCGGCTCATCAGTTGAGTAGCAGAGCGCCACTCCGTCTACTTAATAAGTGGACGAGTGGCCAGTCCACTTCGTTGCCAACGGGTACCTGCTCATCACTCAAACCCATCCATATATTCACACAAACCACAAACACATGAAGCCGGCGCAGCGTCAACATCATGATTCAAATAATGAAATTCATGCCGTATGATATATATGCACAACTCGCTCCATCCCTCGTCATTCCACCACCCCTCTTCCCCCTCAAGCAACCACACTACCCAATGATTGAATAAAACAAAAAATCGAAGTGGACTTAAATCAAACAAGCCGAGAGAAGAGCATCTTCGAAAGAAAAGGGGAAGAAAACAATACCAAGCAATCATAAAACCAAAAGTGCAAAAGGCAAAACAAAACAAAAAACATCCGTGCCGTCCCTCCTGTAGCGCCATCGCAGCTCAATAACACAATAAATGCCATGACCGTGGAATACCTCGTCTTCAAACTTTCGCAATCGGTCACTATAGCTTGGCTTTCCCCTTGTCCTCACCCTCTATCCTCATATGCTCGACATACGCTCTTTTCGTAAAGGTCTAGTTGTCGGCCTCAAGAGTCCAACCCTCCCCCCTTTCAAGAAGAACTCGAGCTTTGTAGACACGTACAAAGCTCACTGAATGAGATATGCTTGTTTTTTTGCTCCCCTCTCTCTCTTGGTAGGAACGCCTAAGGACATGCATGTATGCAGAATGTTTAAACGAATCGCTCGTCAAAATGGACGTAATTTTGTCATCATCGTTAATAAAAAAGTAGAAACACAAAAAAAAATTCGTTTTTTCCTGGCTTCTCTGTGGGTATTTGAAAAATGTATTCAAATCACCGGTGCTGAATCCGTTGGA